GCCACAACTGACGATCAAAGATTTACACAGGAATATGTATGAAAAATCTTTGAAAATCTTCTCAAGAACCACTGGACCAGGAAAGATGAAATTTATATGAAAACATCCTCTGGTAGTGTACCAGTAGTTTCAATTTTGTTCGAATCATGACCCAAAGATGGAAGGGCGGGGCTATAATGGACGATTAAAGTTTTCCATAGGAATGAATTCATTGGTGTTTTTTTTAACTCTTCATTTTAAGAACCACAAAGCCATGATTAGTCATACCTTTAGGTAAGCATCCTCACATAGTGTTGATTCAAGTTTGTCATTAAGCCATGAACGGGAAGCAGGGGTCAGGTAGGGTGGGACAAAAGGGGATCAGGGATAAAAGTGCTTAGAAATATCGAGCAAATTTTTCCTAAGAACAGAAAAACCATGTTTAATCACACTGATTTGGAGCCACTCTCAGGTAGTACAAAGTCATATTGGTTCACATGAGGGCTCCCAGGGCTAGGGCTGGGCCACTATTGGGGGAAGTAAAATGAAAAAATAGGAAAAATCTTATGCGCCGAAACAGCAAAGGCATTTGTTATACATGTATGGAGGCATCATCAGGTAATTGGTAGTCTAAAATTGCAAACCCCAACCCCCATGTAAACTTCTCATTACTAGAATGATTTCTGCTTTATTTCCCAGCCAATGTGCTCAGGTGAGCGATGTGGCCCATGGGCCTCTTGTTTCTTAACTGATGATAGAGTGAAAGAATAGCCCTATTTTAATGGTTTTCTTAACATACCAATTTACAATTGAAGCCGTCTCTAAGAAATTGAAACTATAGACAGATACAATGTTGAAGATTATTGGTGAAATGGAATGAGATACATGAATTCAAATTCTTTATAAGTCTTTCAAAGTCTTTCTCTTTGTAAAGAAAAATAACCCTGAAGACAAATTATCTGTAACCGTCAAACATTTACAGATTTCTTAATGACAAGCAAGAAAATGGGAAAAATGTTTCCAAACTTGAAAATCGTTTTACGTGCTAAAACGGGGTGTAATAACTTTTTTCGAAAACTTTACAAAATTTCCATTATTAAACTATGAAACATCAAAGAGTGCAGGTGCGTGGGGCAACCAGCCTTCCAATAAACCTTTTCAATAGTTTAATGTTACGTTTTGAGAAAAACATCAGAGATTACCACCCTACGCCACCCCTACCCCCCGAATCTGAAAATTAATGAATCAAAATTATGCCCTTGATTACTTATCATGTAATGGAAGATTTAAATACATGAAGCTCCAAGTGCAAAATGTACAAACCCAATATGTAATGTATGCTTATGTAGTTAAATCTTGCGTACATGTGTATGCCTCGTAGGAAACAAGACAATATATACCTGGAAATAACTTAGCACATTGTCCGTCATTCAGACGAAAAACTTTCCTGAAATTTTCTTGTCTCGAAGACATACTGACGAGGTCCCTTAATGGGAATTCCTTATCAAAGTAGATCTGAAGGGCATCTCGGCCAACCTTTGTCAGATGTTCAAATGTCTTGAAATTGAATTTTCGCAGTCCTTCTTCATAAGCAACAATAAAGTTGTCCTGACGTGAAGCAGCCTCTACTATTAGGATAATATATTTTACTGTAATTTGTATTTCATGCGCATTTTCTTTATGTCATTTCAATAAATTAAAGAAAAGGCGACTCACCTGCATTCTGAATTCCACAATCCTGTAATATGTAAAGAAAAAAAATATAATTAAGGGCAGATGATGCATACATTTTTGTCATAAAAATTAAAAATGACAACTTGTGTCATGTTTAAATGAGTAAAATAAAAAAAAAATCAACACGTAGTTTTAAATCTTTCATTCAAAATTTCACAATATTGGGATTTGAAGTAAAACATTTTTGTAATAGATTAAGAAGGATGGTTGAAGAAAGGTAGAATTTTAAACATCAGAGAAGGTATACAATTTCATAATGTTTTAGAAATTTATTGTTTGCATAATTTGCAGCAAAACTAGGCCTAGAAATATAATATACCTATCCAGACATCCATTTTGTGTTTTTATCATCTGTCCTTCATATGATTTTTTTTATCTTGCTTATAATAAGCATTACCTATTTAAAAGATAACAAGACGTCTGTTACAATGAAAAAGTAATCACCTGCTTCCAGTAACCCAATATATCTGATTCGCAAAGAACATGATGATGTAACAATGCATGTCTAGGACAAACCATTTGACCCTTCCTTTGAATTGCTGTCTCCTCAACAAAGCACCCATTGTATTCTGTAAACACTTCATACATGGAACATTGATATCCTGCAATGTACATTATTTCTTTGTGAAAAGTTCCTGTGAGTTCTTTCAGTAGCCTTTCTATGGTACTACGTACCTCCAATGTAACTTTCTTTTCTAGAAATGAGTTACCAGGTTTAAAAACCTGGACCTGTATTGATGAATGGTTCACAGCAAGAGCAACTCCGTGTCCTTTATAAGCGAAGCAAGCGACATTTTTAAACAGACGTAATCCTTGGTCGTTAAGAAATCCCCATTCCCCATCTGTTCTTGTTATACAGGCGACAACCAGGCGACAGAAAATGAAATATGGAAGAAACTGAAATCTAAGGACAAGCACCGATGTTTTATTTTTCCACCTTTTAAAACTGTCCTCATGGGCAGCATCAAAAGTACACTTGTTCATGCATGGTATATAGTGTTGGTTGTCACCAACAACAAGCAGACCAAGACGCTGCATGTATTGAAGGATCTTGGGTTTAAATGATCCAACATTGAAACTTTTAGATGACCATATTTCTTCCAAAAGCGAGTCCAAGATATATCCATTTTGGTAAAAATTTTGCCAATCTTCTTCGTTTTTCACATTATCCATGACGTTGTTTAAATCCGTTATGATATTTTTGAATGCATCGACAAACCACTGAATGTCAATAATAACAGTTTCAGAAAGAACACCTTCTCTAAAATTCAAAATTACTCCGATTTCATGGAAAAGTTTTAAGATATCCGGAACTTGTTCATATTTTTCTATGATAGTACCAAAGCATTCCTTCTGAAATTCTGCCTTCGAAATAATTCGGCGGTTTTGTCCTCTGAGGTACCTGAGGGTGGATTCACCCAGTGCCCAGTCAGCTGGTATTGTTTCCTTCCATCGATCCTCTTTTGCAATTGAAGCGATGCAAAACATCAAGTCAGAGAGATCATTGAAAGAAGGATCATTAATGCTGTGTAATCCTACAAGGAAGCATCTTTTTCTGTCCAAGTGTTTCTTAAGGTTCTTATCGAACCGTAAATGCTCTAAAATGCTATTGTAGAATGTGTCGGTGGTCTAAACACAGAAGAATCAGGTAAAGAGTAGAATCATGGTTTTATATATAATTTTAAGATTTTCTCATTTATTTAAATGTGTTTGAATGATTGATATTGTTATTTTTGCACCCCTTCATTTTTGTGTTCAAATTATTTTTAGCAAAGAAAATGGATGATACATGCAGATTAGTTTCCTTTCTAAAATTCCTATGAGACATTAATTTCTTTAATAATTTAATTTTTGAAATATTTTTCATTTCTTATAAAATTGCATGCCTAAAAGAAATTAAAATATAGAAAGACGATATTTTCTATATATGCTGATTTCTCTACTCCTTTCAATTTTTTTTCAGCATCAGTGATTATATCTGCTTTTAAGCCATTCAATTCAAATTGTATATACCTGTCCCGTAGATTTGTCAAGATGAGTCCCAACAAGAATTACCGGTGCAGTTTCATCACAGTACATGTGGACAGATTTCATCCAAAACAAGATATATTCTGTTAAAAAGCATTTTTGTTCATATGTAACAAAAAAGGTTTACATGCTTAAAACCGTAAATTGAAGGAAAGACAATATTGTATTATGTGTGTCACATTTTTCATATTTTATCAATCTTAAACCAAAATAAAATTATAATTTTTATCAAATAGTGAAATATTACGTAATAAAAAAATCTATAAAACCTTATTACTACACGTAGTTATTCAGTTTGCAGTGCCGTACGTTATTCATCGGTAACTTGCATATTTTATTAAGATAAAAGAAAGTTCTTTGGGAAACACTTACGGCCCCCCCCAATAATAATGGACAGTACTCAGTCAAAAAAAAAAAAACGCTCAAGCATATCCAAAACAGAACTTGACCTAGATATTTTCATGGAAAAATCTGTGAACCAAATTTCATTTCAGTATGTGCAACCACTGTGATGAAAACAAATGGAATCTGCACTTAACTGGAATTTTTCTACGTCCAAGGGACATGTACAGACTGAATGACAGCTGCAAAGCAATAATCCCTCCCTTAAAGGGATTGTATGGTCATAATTTTAATTTCTATATATAAAACTGTACCTCTCATATAAAAAGAAAAGCTGCATCTTATAACACTGCACTGCTGATAACAGCAGTTAAATTTGATTTTGATAGCTTAATAGGATCAGCATGGGGAAAACCTTATCATGGCCGCTGCCGACGTAGTGGAGACAGATTAAATGCCATATGTATAGAGTCAATGAGAGTATGACTGCAGAGAAATCGAATTCCTTACGTTAGAAATAAGCTAATTCGAGCAATTGTTTATTTATAGGAGACAGATTAACATCCTTTTTGGACACATTTGAACTTTAACAAGTTTTGATTACAATCAAGTAAAATATACAACCCGTGCAGCTAAGTTTTTTAGTAAAGTTAAGTCCCGTTCGGTTTATGGCTTTTTATTATTGATTTCTTATTTTATTTTCCTGAATTCTGAAACACTGGAACCATAAGAATTTTAAATTATATGTTTCCTTTATTACATTCAGATTCAAAATGAAATCACAAGCACTTAATTGGCACATTTTCACGATGTGATTCCGACATGATAATGTTTACACTTAGAGCCAATGTGTCCCTAAGACGTCATAAAAGTGAGGATTGTGGGAAATATTTAGCAAGCGCGATAACTTTATCTCTCAACATGGCAGCCTCCAGCAGCTAGTTCAGTCATAACGTTGGTGTCTTATTACTTTATAAATAAGTAAAAACAAATGACAGTATCAGGTAAAATTCATCAATGATCATTCAATGAATGAAATATCAAAAAGTTATTCTAGACCCAACGTTTCCTTTAAAAATAAAATCCCATGATTTGTTGTTAGGTATTTTTTCACAGCGAGTTCTTTTGATCCTCGAGCCATAACGATAGGATGAAAAAAACATGACGATTTCGATTTCTTCTACATCACTTTCTATATTTTGCATTGGAATTCAATTAATTTCACTTAATCGCTCCTACGAAAAACTCAATGTGACTTCACAACAGTGTGATATGAAAAAAAATATTTAATGAGTGATATCCATCATATAAATTGATGAACAAGTAATAAATTAAGATATTTGAAATACCTCCATAAGTCCAATCAGCAAACATAGTTTCCTCCTGGTCACAAAATTTTCTGTCAATCCTTTCATTAAACGACTTTGACATATCTATCACTAGTAGATAGAAAGCCCTTCTGCTGAGATAAACCTGATGACAGGCGTAGTAAGCACACTGTCCTCCAAAATCCATAACACTCAAAAGTGCCTTCCCTTCTTTATTTGAATTGTCTGTAAAAGCTAATGGTAGGAAAACATGTTTAAACACATGGACATCTAAAAAAGATTATTACTGCAATTATGACTTAAAACCAAATATAGTTTTAAAGACTAAAATTATTTTAGTTTCATGTCAGAAAAACATAGACAATAATAAAATACTGATCTACATAATGGTTGCAGTTTTCATTATAGATATACAAATTTAATTTTCTTTTTTAATCTGACGGCTCAAACATGAATGAAAAATATTTTTTAAAAAATAAAGAAATGAAAGACGCTACAACTTGACTGTGACGTTCATTAAAGTATACTACAACTGACATAGTTTATATCAGAGAATGTTTTGAGAAGAATAGTTTAGAAATCCACTGTTTAGTCGAAATCGCAAAGAAATATTTGGGTCAGTATGCATTTCACTGAATAACACTACAATTCCTTTTTGCCACCTGAACTGTAACTTGAGGGTTAAATAAACACTATGTCATTTTACCAGTTGCTATCATGGTAATTAATACATCATTTCGGGTAAAATAGTGTGACAATCACTTGTATGTCAGGCTAGCTTTATGGCCTGTAACCATTATTTCCCATTGTTCTTTGTCGTTGCAAAAGTCACTTGATCAAATTATTAATGGGACATTCCCTGGTGAGCTGCCGTGTGATTAACATGTATATTAGAGGGCAGCCGAATTTGCTGCAGGGGCAGTTTATTTTGCAGAATGCAACGTACAGTAACTGAGTTTTAACAAAAGGCACAGAGAGCAGACCGTGCATTATGACTTTGAAGAAAACAATAGCTGAGTTTAGCCGTATTCCAGAGGGATAAAAGGCAAGGACGATCATCTCCTTTCCATAAGTTCCGTGACAACAGCCCCAGAATCGATAGGACGATCGATCAACAAACCTAGATGCTGAAACTTTTGATGCGTAGATGTATTTCGATTCAGATAAGTCGAACTGAATGAATTAGAACTTAGAGCTCATGTGATATTGTGGCAAACCTAGATATACAGAAATGAACAATTGATCATTTACGGCAACAATATAAAGTATTATAAAATATTATATAAGAAAATAGCATTTACTCTGTTTTTCAAACTTCAAGGGTTTGTTGATTTTTTTTCTCGTTCATGTGAAAGAAAACGGCGTGCAAGTGTGTGCAAATGTGAGTTTGCTTATATAAATATATAATTCTTTCTTTTGTAAATAAATTTCTATTCATTGTAACTGTCTTAAGTATCATTTGGAGATAGCCTGGTTCAACCACGTTACAAATACTTTTAATTATATGGACATGTATTTCTCTTGGACAGGGGTGCCGCAAAATTAAGAAATAACACGCACCATTTCTGTTTAATCCGCAGTAGAAAATTTCGTAAATTTCTTAGACACTCACTTTATGCTTTACATGTATATAAAGTATTTTTTCATTTGTGACAGGCTAGTGGCAGATAATTTTGTATAACAGGGATTACAATAACCTTGTTTAATAGAAGTCTGCATTTTGTAAATTCTATGCTTATTATGATGACCTTATGAAGAAAAACTAAGCCTTTGTTTTTTTATACAGTCATGTATTTAATTTAACTACGGGATATGTTATCTAGGTTTATATTTATATGCAGAGCGTTTACGGCGAGTATGACTTGTCAATGTGGAATTCTTTCTCCTCCTAGGTACAGAAATTTCCTTCTTGAACGGTGAGTGCCCTCTGAACGATGAGATTGAACGGTGTGTGAACGCTGAAAACAATTTGATGAACGGTTAGAAAACGTGAAAGGTGCGCTAATAGAGAACGCGGACGGAATGCAAACGTGAGCACAAAGTGAACAGTGAAAAAGCGGTGACTATGCCAGATGAACTATTTAATCAGAATATTACTGATCTTCCTTGCATTGTATGTATTACATGTAAGGTGTAAAAATAATAAAATGAATAAATCAATGAATGAATTAATAAGTAAAAGAATAAACCATGAATATATGAAACCGTTGTTGCATCTTTGGAAATCGTCTGTACAGACTTATAGTGGCAAACACATTATTTGCGTGAAAAGGAAGGATGGAAGAAGGAAAGAGGATACAAGGATTTTTTTTTAAGAAGAAGAGGAAAAATGTATAGATAAAATATTAACATATATATCATTTTTGCAAATAAGTGACTTGAAATTTTTGCTAGAAAATATCCATGACGTCCACGTGTTATTTAGAGGCAAAATAGGGAAAATCCTCTTCGTTTTTGTTAATAAATTACATTTTTAAGGGGGGTGTAGTAGATGATTAGTATGATTTTAGCCGGGTTCCATAGCGTAAGCTATGATCCGGCTTAAGGGATCGTCTATCTGCGCGGAATAATCAATGGATGGTAACCAAATAACCGCTAATATAAGCATGAATTGTTTCTACCATTCCCCTTTTCAATAAGATCAGATCCCGTTTTCAAATAATTCATGATGATGACGCTTGGTTAATGTTTTTAGATTTTCAAATATTAGAAACAAATATTTTCAATGTCTTCCTATGTTTGTTTGTATGGGAATTAATGTTGCAGCTTTTGCAAAATTAATAGATAAATAAATACATGACGCGTTCATGGTTTTTAAGTATTTTCTCTGTCACACTTGTAATACATATTCAAATACAAAATAAGATATTTTATTAATTAAATACTCCAAAGAAATAATTTATGTGATTTTTTTTTTGCAATTTTTGCAAACAATTGGTTCAAATGCTGATTTTTATCTTTCGCATATGAATTATTTCTAATGTAACATAATTGCAGTTCCATTTGCGAAAGACAAAAAGCACGATCTAAAAACAATTGACACAAATCAAATTTTATGTCAAATCATCAGCAAAAATAATTTTTCCTTTTATGCGTAAAATGTCACTTACATCTCAAATCTGCTTTATCCTCCGCAATCTCAAAGACTTCCTCATGTACTTCTAGGCCTATCGTACTTTGAACCTGTTGTAATTCATGAAGAGATCGCTTCTGTAGTCGTTTCAGAAGAGTAGTTTTTCCCGCACCAGCACAGCCAACAATCATAGCACGAGCCCTGTGGATCGTTTGTGTTCCTTTCTTTGCACATTCTACATATCTGCACCTTGCATCTTTGTCCCATCTAAGAATTTCCCTGGGAATATTTACTGAAAGAGTGAAAAGAAAAGTATTTCTGTCAGTGACCTTCAAAGAACTAGATATTTTATAACTAAAAAAAAAGCGTAAAGTAAATAAGACGTTTAAGGAAAAACTAACGGAAATTTGACCTGCTACATGTAAAATACTTACCAGCATAAAGAATTTATTTGTTTTTGTTGACTACATTTTTTTAAAAGGATCATTTAAGGGCAGATGATAGAAACACGATTTTATCGAAAAAAAATTACAATTTGTATACTGTTTATATAAATAAAATTAAACATTTTCATTCAAAGTTTTGCAATATTGAAATTACAAAATGTGTTTACATTAATAACAATGGTAACAGAGAGACTTTTGAGCAACATAAAAGATTTATATACCGCTTCGGACACCTTTTTATTGGTGATTTCAACTGTCTTAAGGCCAATCGACACGTCACAGAAATGTATGTTTGCATCTCTTGTTATTGTGTCAAAAATCATTCACATTTGTCATTTTCTTCTGATTTCTGATTTCTACACCATTTTCAAAATGTATTTATATATAAGTACACCACAAATTAAATTGGGAATTAAGCCATTCAGGGGATTACCAATATAGAGTATTTTAGAAATATAACTATCTGGTATCTTGTCCAAATGCCTGGTAAGGTGTCTTAATTTTTTTGTGTGTAAACTTGTTTAAGTACCTATACTTCAATGACAAAGTCTTGGGAACAATTAAATATTTTTGAGGAACATGTTGTCTGACCTTAAATTATCTTGCAATTATACAATCCCTTTTCTAAATGATATCAATACAAAATTAGTGTTCATGCTTATTTGTGGACTAAGAGGAGAAAACAAATAATTTAATGATTAAAGATGTGTCTTGAATTACCATTACGAACGTTACTTGCAACAAATCACATTTTGACATGTATCATCTCTTATTGTGCCTTATTATCCGTGAGATGATTTCCGATGAATTTACATACGCATGCAATTTTTTGTTAAAATCAAACAAAGTATGACTCGTTTCCTATAGGACAGATAGAATTCTTTCGGAAAAAGGCTAACACATTTAAAAATATTTTTGCTTAGAAATGGAAAAAAAACAACTTTTTTTAAAGTTTCTATGATAAACTTACAAATATCAGACACCAAGACTTGTATCCTGTACTCTGACACTATGGCGTGTCGTACGATGTCTATTCCCGACTCTCTTACTAAGGTGTCCTCCAACGTCATCGGTAAGTATAAACATCTTCCTTCATCTCCCCCTTCATAGTCAAAAGTAAGGACGTAATCAAACACCGAGTCAAATGATGATAATTTGAGATAGTTCTTAAAGTCCTCATCGGATTCTAAACAGTTCAGAACAAAGTATCCCATCACCTGATGACGGATATCTTCTGATTTAAACTCCAGTGTCTTCTTCTCTCTATTTATTGTCAGCATTTTATCCTTGTTTATCAATTCTTGTTTAAGCAACGTATTATCAGACATTACATCGTCTGAGCCATTCAGTGTTAAAAAAGTCTGTTGTATTTGTTCTACTTTCTCTTTCAATAAATTCTCTTCATATAAAATGCTATACTTCTCTGACATCAAAATGGATATAAGTATGCTCCATTTTGACTTTTTTAAAGACAAATACGAAAATTCTGAAATTAAATTGATACAGTTTCAAATTAATTGAAAAAATAAACACTGAATACAGTTTATTTAATCTATTTATACTAGGGATGGCAATCGATTACATAATTGGTGATCGGTTAACCGCAAGACGTTCCGACCGATTAACCGGTTAATTGCATCAAAATACAAATTTTAAAAAAAAATCATTTATCTGTATTCATATACACAATCTGAAATAAAGATATTATAAGTTAGAAAAATTCTGCTCATTATCTTGATCAGGAAAGTATGTGTGAATTTAAATTATTTTATTTTAATTTCAATAGTTAGACAATTGCCTGAGAAATCAGACGCAGATATCTTTCTAGTGCAGATGTCACTCAAATTCATTATAATCAAACCTTTGTCTGAACTTTAACTTATACGTTGTTTTTCAAATAATATAATTTAATAGATGTTGAAATAGTGCATATTAATATATACAGAGAAAGCGCAGAATATTTTAATATTGGCTAAACTTTAGAAAAAGCATTAATTGTATTTTGAGTGCATGTCATCAAGATATGGTTCCGTAGGGAATAAAGATCCCTGGATAACGAGTGTAAAAAAATGAAATGTACACTCTAGGTTTAGCTGACTTGTTTCATAGTTATCAAAAAGATAATATAATATTAGACATAAAATACAAGTGTACGATAGAATCATTGACTTTTTTAAACAAAAGGCTATATCTGATATATGTAAATCACCAAAATGCATGTTATAAGCATTTAGTTGATTATTTTTGTTTACAAAGATATTTAAAAAAACCTATCCATGTAAAACACAGAAAAAATTCATGTTTAAGACTTTTAGCACATAATTTAAAGAATGAAACTGGAAGATATGAGAACTTAATAAGGAGTGATAGGAAATGTGCTCTCTGTTATTTAAATGATAATGAAGATGAATTTCATTTTTTTATTCATTTGTCCAGTTTTTCACGATTTAAGAGACAATTTCATCAAACATTACTATTCCAAAGACCAAGTGTCTTCAAACTAATACAATAAAACTATTCTGTAATACAAATACCAAAGATGTAAATCAAATAGGGAAATATATATATCATGCTAATAAATTACGACTGGAATGTTTAAATCAATTAGCTAAATGATAGAATGTATGCATCACTAGTTTGTAAGTGTATAACATGTTATTGTACTATGTATGTAATTGATAAATATGTGTTGTACTATAATGCTTATGGGATGTACGTCCTAAGGAATAAAGAACTGAACTGAACTAGATAACGGCAAAGATCGATATGTTTACATACTCATTAAAAGTACTCAATGGTGATTATATGAAATCATTAAATTATCACAGGACGGTCATGGTACCGACATAGTGTTTTAAAAACTGTATTTAACATTTCACAAACTCACCAACTATAACCTCGCAATCTCAATCCGGAGGGCCATGATTACCTCTGAATCAGCTTAATAAGATGCATAAAATGCTAATTTAACATTATCTTTTTTTGCAGAGATTTCCTACATAAATAAAATTTAAGAAAATTTCGTTCAATTTTACATATATTAATTTTTTCCGACTAGCCCATTGCAGATTTTCTAACCGATTAACATCGTTTCGACCTATAAATCGATTAACCGGTCACAAATTGCCATCCCAAATTTATACATTACATGTTACAACTATCGTCAATAAATAATATATTGCTAGTATTTAAAATATATTCTTGTTTACCCTCCACGTATCCAGAAAGGGTTGTGTATGCTGAGAAATATCTTCTGACATCTTCATTACAGACTCCATTAGACCAATCAGTAGGATGTCTGTTTCTCCGTTTGCAATAGTTTTTCCAAAATTGGACAAATTCTTCAGATTCATTTAAGATTCGTTTTGGCACTAATTTGACAAGTGTGTCTATATCATATAGAAAATAAATAATTTTATTTCATTGGTTATAACAATTACTCACAAATAACAAAAGAGAAAAGGAGAGAAGAGGGAAAAACTAATCCGTATTTTTAAACTAAAAACAACTGGGACCACAGCATCTACAGAAATAATCTTATCCCCGATGTTCTTCCTATTTTTAAAAGTTTTTATCCTGTAAGTCCTACCCGTACATGTACCTGTATCCCCATATTGTAGCCCAACAACTCCGTAGAATAACAGAATCAACATACTTGTAACGTGGGAATGTTTCAACATTAGTATCTAAGTATTCTAACGCGGCTTCGTGTTATTGAAAATGTTTTATAATGCTCTGTATACATGCATTATCTTAAATTTGATTCCCAAATTTAAGTCTTATAATGTAACCATGAGGTCCATCTTTCCAGGCGTCCATGGCTTATACCCTTTTCACATATTTGAATTGTTTATAGATTTTTTTTTAGATCGATTACTTTTCGTTATTTTTACCTTTTACAACGAAACCAAAAACATTAAAGAATGCACACAACTTGTCAGTCTTACCAAATTTATAATCCCACAATTTGATATTTTCTGAAATAGTTTTATCTTATATAACCTTATAATTTTTGTTATCCCTTTCTTTTACCCATCAAGGTACATTGTGTACTGATTCAATTAAACAAATTAGAATCGAAAATATCAAAATTACAAAACAGCCATCCTATCCTTGAGAAAATTAATTAAAATGTTTTTTACACAGTTAAAAGTAAATATTTCATCCTATGTTATGGCTCTACCCTATACTAGTGGGCCATGAATCAAGCATTTCAGAACCAAGTCTACATGTATGTAGGGAACCTTTAGATGAGTTCCAGCATTTCTACTCAAGATTTTGAGAATAATTAAGATTTTAAGACTTTTATCCTATGCATATACCGTTAACGGTGTCTCAGTCAGTAGACCGCTCGCTTCGTGATAAGGAGGTCGTGATTTTGGATCTCGTCCGCCACTGACGTAAGTCGGTAAAAAAAGGTAGCAACTATTACTTCGCCATATGCGCCCGGCACTTTGAAGTGAAAGTTTCGGGTCCTTTGCATGAGACCTTAAAAACCGAGGCCCTGTATCACGGTAGGCGTTGGCACGATATAAAGATCCCTCACTGCTTATAATAACCCTGAGTGCCGAGAAAAGGTCAAAATTTGAAGCCCTTCGCCAGTTTATGGTGTCGTCTCTGTATGAGTAAAAAATTGTCCAATGCCACTTAAAACAACATACAATCAATCCTATGTATATTTTACGGATTGAATTTGTGCGTAAAATACTACTTCTGGGTCAACCGTGAGTTTTCTTCTTATTGTGAAATCTTGATTCATAAAACTTCAAAGTCACCAACACGAGTTACAATTTTTGTACTTTTATATAGAATCAGCAAGGAATGAACTTTTGCATGAGTTTGAGAACTACATGTATCGGCAACGAAGGTCTAATTCCAAATGACAATAGTTTTTCACAACAAATCATTCATACTGAACAATGATAGAACAAAATAAAAGGATTAAAAAAAGTTTAGATAAATCAATAAGCAAACAGATACTGATGACACTTCAGCGGCATGTATATAAAAACTTAGATGAAAGATTAAGTGTTAATAAATATGAACATAGTCAATTAAGAGATTACTGCAACTGTCCATCTCTGACTGTTCCTCAGGTGCGATTAAGTTGTGTGGAATTTACAGAATTTATTGCTTTTGCCGAAATATAAGAAAAAAGCTATAACAATTTACACAAAGTCCGAAATGTTAATTAATACAATAATTGATAATAAATCCGAAAAGTCGTATTTTAAACCATAACACATACCTATGAAATTATATACCCCTCATCATGGTTTAACACTTCCCTCTACTCCCATGGTTTGAACAATTTTAAGTCTACATTATATAGACTTTAACATAACATTCATCTTTTTGGCAGGTGGTTCTTGTATTTTTTCAAATGTATTTCTATTGGAAAACTTTGACCCTATATTCTTGTAAATTCCTACCTCTGGAGCCATAATTTCCATAATTAGATAGTACATGTAAATGATGGTCATTCTTTTCAATTTCTTTTACTCAAGGATACTTTTTGTCAAAGATTGGTACAGGGGAACTTGTTAAAAAGACGAAAATATATATAACGTTTACAAGCAGACAGACGCACGACAACAGTAAGTAAAAAGGGTCTCTTGAGGTCTCTTAATGTCGGATATAATTTACATTTATGTGCCACAACACATGCGTCTTACAACTTATCGTCGTAAGAAAATTCAATTAGCTACAAAAATGACCAATCAGCAAGGGCCCCGTTATGATAATGAATATACATGTAGAAAGAAACTAGAGCTGACCTCGTTGCAAAGAAACGAGTAGGTCTTCCGTTGGAGCTGTGGACAAGAAGTACCGAGCTTGGGTCAAGGTTACTGCTTTTTCTTATGTGAACAACTTTTCTTCTCAGCATGAGCCTCAAGTGAATCTTAATTACAAAGTTATGCTTAAACATTTTTTTCTCTGTCAGTGACTTTGATTTTCCAGAAAGACCTTTGATCAGTGTTATGACACAACCTCCAATCATATGTAATCTATGTTTCAAAAAAGAGCCTCCAATGATTTTTATTTACTAATTCATAGCGTGGGAAAGAAA